TATTTGGGGGTCCCAGGGGGTATTTGGGGGTCCCAGGGGGTATTTGAGGGTCCCTGGAGGGGATTTTGGGGCTCCCTGGAGGGGATTTTGGGGTATTTGGGACCCCCCAATTGTCCCCCAGGACCGGGACGGGTCCCACGTGGAGGTGGAGCCGCTCTGCGTCCTGGATTTTTACATCCACGAGTCCCAGCAGCGCCGGGGGCTGGGCATGGAGCTCTTCCGGGAGATGCTGCAGGTCTGGGGGGAAAAACGGGGATTTGGGGGAAAAATGGGGATTTTGGGGAAAAATCGGGAATTTTGGGAGGGAAAAATGGGGATTTTGGGGGGGAAAATGGGGATTTTGGGGGAAAAATCGGGAATTTGGGGGAAAAATGGGGATTTTGGGGGAAAAACGGGGATTTTGGGGGGAAAAATGGGGATTTTGGGGGCAAATTGGGAATTTTGGGGGAAAAATCGGGAATTTTGGGGGAAAATGGGGATTTTGGGGGGAAATTGGGAATTTTTGGGGGAAAAAATGGGGATTTTGGGGGGAAAATCAGGAATTTTGGGGGGAAAATGGGGATTTTTGAGGAAAATATTGGAATTTTGGGGGGAAAACATTAATTTTGGGAGAAAAACCATGAATTTCAGGGGAAAAATGGGGGTTTGGAGGAAAAAATGGGAATTTTGGGGGGGAAAATGGGATTTTTGGGGGAAAAAACATGAATTTTGGGAGGAAAAACGGTAATTTTGGGGGAAGAATGGGAATTTCAGGCGAAGAATGGGAATTTTAGGGAAAAATCAGGGATTTCATGGGGAAAATGAGGATTTTGGGGGGAAATGTGGATTTTGGGAGCGGAGACAGGGATTTTTTTGGGGGAAAACGTTAATTTTATGGGGGCAAAACGGGGATTTCTGTGGGGAAATGGTGATTTTATGGGGAAAAGCAGGGATTTGGGATGGAGAATTGGTGATTTTATGGAGGAAATGAAGATTTTGGGTGGAAAACGTGAATTTTCAGACAGGAAAAACAAAAATTTTACGGGCGAAGACCAGGATTTTGGGGGGAAAACCATGAAATTTTGGTGGGAAACCAGGAATTTTTATGGGAAAAAAGAAATTTAAGGGGGAAAACGGGAACCAGGAGGGTCCTGAGCAAACCCCAACCCCCCAATTCCCAAAAAATTCCAGCGGGAGAGGGTGCAGCCGGAGAAATTGGCCGTGGACCGACCCTCGGAGAAGCTCCTGGGCTTCCTCAGGAAACATTTCGGGCTCTGCAACCTCATCCCTCAGGTGGGGAAAGGGAAAAAATCGGGAATATTTCACATTTCGGGGGCGTTTTTCCGTTGAAAAATGGGATTTGGGGTGGGGGAAAATAATTCCCAGGTTTTTAATTTTTGGGGTTAATTAGCGGGATGAGTTTTAATTTTGTGTTTGTTCGTTAGCACAACGAACTAGAGCCCCGCGGGGGAGTGGAATTGCCGGGAATGACATGAGGGTTCCTTCTTGCTCCCCCTTCTCCAGGTGAACAATTTCGTCATCTTTGAGGGGTTCTTCTCCACCAGGAGCGGTGAGTGCGGGGCTGGGATGCCAGGGAATCCTTCTGGAACCTTCCAGGGGCTCCCGGGTGGGATTTGGGGTGGATTTTGGGGAATTCTGGGTGGATTTTGGGGAATTCTGGGTGGATTTTGGGTGGATTTGGGATATCCTGGGTGGGATTTTGGGAATCCTGAGTGGATTTTGGGGAATCCTGGGGTTCTTCTCCACCAGGAGCGGTGAGTGCGGGGCTGGGATGCCAGGGAATCCTTCTGGAACCTTCTGGAATCTCCTGGGTGGGATTTGGGGAATCCTGGGTGGGTTTTGGGGGATCCTGAGTGGATTTTCAGGAATTCTGGGTGGGTTTTTGGGTGGATTTTGGGGAATTCTGGGTGGATTTTGCGTGGATTTGGGATATCCTGGGTGGGATTTTGGGGGATCCTGGGTGGATTTTGGGGAATTCTGGGTGGATTTTGGGGTGGATTTTGGGGAATTCTGGGTGGATTTTGGGGAATCCTGAGTGGATTTTGGGGTGAATTTTGGGGAATTCTGGAGTTCTTCTCTACCAGGAGCGGTGAGTGCCGGGCTGGGATGCCAGGGAATCCTTCTGGAACCTTCCAGGGGCTCCCGGGTGGGATTTGGGGTGGATTTTGGGGAA